ATATATATATATATATATATATATATATATATATATATATATATATATATATACACACACGTCTCTGTGTGTGTGTATTAGATAATATAAAAGAAACTTAAAGACAAGCTATTACAGTTTTGCCATTATCAGTTCTTCAGGCTTTGTAACAATAATCATTATATTCCCAAATATATCAATTATATTGTGGAGTTTAAAAAACATTTTTTTCACTCTTTTTATCTAAAATAAAAAAAAAATTTGAAAAATTATATAAAAGTGAAATAATGTTGCAGTGCATACACTCATTGAAATAGCTATTGTCACACTTCAAGCTTGGCTAAAAAAAACAAAACCTGTTTGAATCTCTATTTATGTAAATGGTTGAAATAATATCAATATGCATTCATTATTATAATATAAATGATAATAATGAAAAATTGTTTCAAATCTAAATTGGTTGATTGCTGTTGTACAAGCAATCAATTTCAGAAAACTTGAATGGAAACCATCTTGACATTTACTCCCACCACTTTCTCACCAACAAGTCTGACAGATTATATGATCCAAGACTTGTGTAATTAACTGCAAAACTAGATCACACAGAATGTAATTAGCTACTAACTGTTAATTATGCTTGTTGGAGATATTTTAATGTGACCAATGCTGGGTTATAAGTGTTGAATAAAAGTAGGATTGATTTTTTTTTCCCTTCCTCTTCTATTTCCATTACTGCTTCCATTTTGGTGTCTTCTGTTCTTTAACATGGAATTTCAACAATCTTGATCTTGCAACCAACCAACCAACCAAGAAAGGATTTAGTGATATTTTATGTTAATTAAAAAAAGATTTATTCTGCCATTTGTTAGAAATCACCGTCTGTGCCTGGTTAATTGCTTTCTTTTTGTGAACAGCAACTCCTTATCATTCTTTCCAACAATGTGACCAGGCATCTTGTCACATGATATTTTTGCCTGTTTTCATTGGTTATTTTCATTTTTCATTTCTTTCTTGCCAGAATGTTAAAAAGAAAAAGCTTATCTTTATGAAGGTGATGCTAAAAGCGTTACATGTTTGTTCATTATGCTGGAAAATGATGAAAGCAAGTTAATAGCTGAGGTTATATGTATTTTATGTGTGGCTATGAGAATTATCAAAAAATTTAATCCCAAAAGCAGACTTTAAAAATAACTAATAAAACTTTGTGGAATAAGATTAGTTCTGATTTATCTTTTTACTTTTTTTTTTTTTATGACTGCTTGTATTCTGACAAATAGCTTACCCATAAAAAATGATGGTATATATGAAATTTGTAACAATCCGTGTTTGAGTTATCTCCCTTGCATTTATGGAAACATTTGATGATTGACATTTTAGTCAAAATTTAGTTTTTGTAATTATAGGCATTTTTATGCATGTTTGAGTGGTAGCTTTTTATCACTGGAACTAACAAAAATGTAATGGACAAAAAAAAAAAAAAAAAAAAAAAAATTAATAAATTTACCACAGAACCAAGAAATCATTTTTTTCATAAAGAATGTAATGGAAAATATTTTTAGTATATTAGATGAAAAACAAAGCAATAAATTTTCACTTTTTAAGCTTGATTTATGGCTTTTTAGGATTAATTGGGGTTTTATTTATAAAATTTCTTCATTTAGATAAGAGTTCCCTAACCTTTTTTTTTTTTTTTTTTTTTTTTTTTTGATTATTGCCTATTTTCACATGGAAAAATTTTACAAAGCCCATCTATATAGTAAATATTCAAAATCATACTAAAATTGTTTGGTAAAAGTTTGTTACTAGTTCATAAACTGACTTTACAATGTAGTAAAAAAGTATCAAAGGGAAGTAACCAATAACACAGTCTAATGTGACAGCTATTGCTGCTGCTACTACCATATTAAAGAACAAATGAAAGCAAACTTGACCATTGAAAACTATAATATATATATATATATATATATATATATATATATATATATTTGGTTGGATTGATGTGAGTTTGTGACCCTGGATTTCATGCTTTTGCGATCATCAGACAAACTGATTAAATTTTTTTAAATTTTGGGTTTATGTAGATTGCGTTAGCTCTATCTCTGATATTGAGCACTTTCTAATAAGTACCGTGCATATAATATATATATATATGAATTTAGTTTTATGGTCAGTTAGATTTAGGGTTAGCCTTGCAAGTGTTGTTAAAAAATTAAACAATTTTTGTTCATAATTATAAACTCAAAAAAAAATCTACTAGTAAGTAATAAAAATTTAGTGACTATTCTTTGTTGTTCTTGGTCTTCCTTTATCTGATTTATTTGTCAGGATAGTTTTATATAATCTAGGAATGTAACCAAGTTATTCCCATCTAGTCTCCTGGCTCTTTTTTTTTTTTTTTTTTTTTTTTGTTTTTTTTTGTTTCTCTTTTATACAGGTTCTTTGCATTCCTCTTTTTGAATATATATATATATATATATATATATATATATATATATATATATTTATAATAGTAGCATATATTAAAATACATTTTTAATACTTAAAATCCTGTATCACCCACCCAACAGTTGAAATCGCCCACCAAAGGGTGATATTGCCCAGCTTGAGAAACCCTGATCTATATTTTTTTTTTTTTTTTTTTCAATTTTTAATTGTGCATTGCCTGAGCAGTTATGTATCTTAACCCACTGAACCCTTGTGCTTAATAGGATTTTTTAATTTATTTATTAATTTTAATCTACTATTGGTGGCAGAAGAGGGACTGAAATGGATAGTAACGACATAAGCATTATTTACAGCTACAAAGGATAGTTAATTTATGGAGACATTCCACACTATTTCAAACAAAATGTTAGGAAGGAACCTCCCAGAAAGAAGAATAGTTAATAAATGTATTTTCTTGAAAAAAAAATCTTTTAATAGAAAGATTTTATGTAGTTCAACCAAAAACAACACAACCAGCTTGGTCATTGAATGCTGAATGTTTCCTTATAAGAAAATGACTAATATAACCACGACAAGGTGATATTGTTGCAGACCTGGTAGCATGCAGTGCTGGTTTATTAAAAGGTGGCCTTGTGCCAGACACTACTATGACTACCGAATCCACAAACAAAGTAAGAATATTAAATGAGTGATCTTTAGTGAGGAAAAGTTTGAAAGTTGTTGAAAGATGAGGAATTTGGTCTTGGAAAAGTGTGGTGACGACAGTGTCGTAGTTTCTGGTAGAAAATGAAGTAGGTTCAAACATGTTGTTCACATCAAGATGAGGAATTTGATCTTGGAAAAATATATTGCCGACAGTGTCGTAGTCTCTACATTTTCTAGCTGAAAACGGAGGAAAGTTCAACTTGCTGTTCGCATCAAGATGAGGAAAAATCTTGGAAAAGTGTGATATTGACAGTGTCGATTTTCAACGTTTTCTAGTAAAAATAACGGAAGAAGGTTCAAACGAGTTGTTTGAAGAGAAGTTGTAATCACACGACCTGTTGAAGTTTTGGTTAGTTAAGAATAAGATATTCCGGCCCACGTATGGGTTAGGGGCACGGAATAAATGTTGACCTTCTAGCTTGAAAATCAGGCCGCAACTAACTTGAAAACGCTGTTCGTCTGTGACGTCAGGACACGCGTGGGGGAAAAAATTTAAATTCTGATTTTAGATGGTATCAGGAGTAGCTAGCCAGCAACCTCCCTCACGTCAGCATTTACTACTATATCTAGCTAAATGTGACAGGAAGGGGTGCAGTCCGCACACGCAAAAGGGTGGAATTCGCGATTCCACAATATCTTTAGGTATCATCTTGTACCATTAGATATGAGAGCAGATACTACACTTTGATCCCAGCCCTATGGCCAGAGAATGAAGAAAAGTGCAACTTGAATAGCACTAGCTGCTTGTTCATTTAATGCCAAATGTTTCCTTATAAGGAAACAGCTAATATTACCACATATTGAAGAGAGATGATATGTAAAAGGATTTTTAAAATAAATTTGTACTATGATATATGTAGCTATGCACCAGAAACACTTATTTTTAGCAGTTGAGAACCATCCCAATATTATACTGTAATAAAAACAGATTTTTTTATTCTGAAAAAAATGTTTCTTCTAAATGGCTAACAATTCAGACATGTAACCAGTCAAACTGGCATACAGACAGATGGTCTGGTGAGGAAATACAAGATGGTCTTCTGCAAAGTGTCAGCATTGATTTCTCTGTGGCATTTCAGAAAATATTCTGTTACTATTTTCAAGACTTCAAAGGATTTCTCCTAAGTGAGTTACAAAAAAAGATTATGACCAAATATTGCCTTCCAACAATACTTATATTTATAACAAAGGCTATATCTATCTCTCGGACAATCTGTTTGCCTACATCAGCTTCAATCTACCTGTATTATTTCAGACTGTTGAGTTTTATTTTTTTCAGCCTGTTTGTTATTATCTATCTTTGTTCATATCTTTACTGACAGAGAATAAAATTGCAACACCCTGATTGATAATACCAATCATGACCTGAACATATGAATGTTCAGAATAATAATATTCAAAGTTTCAGCTATCTTGTAATGTAGTAACACTTATATCAGTCAACTGTTTGTAATATATGCGGCAATCATGTTCGGTGTGGTTAAAGAGCCTGCCATAGAGATACGCGTGTGCTCTTCTTGTTCAATTGAAGCAATTTGAGAGTGTTTGATGGCAGGCCTTTGAAAGGTTAGGTTAGGTATCCCCAAAGTGGTTTGATTTATTGGCTTTCTACAGCTTATCAACCTTTTGTAGGTTATTTAAAGGCAGAGAATATTTTTAGATTGTAAGAATTTTTTTCTTTTTTTTAAGATAATAATGGTAAAGTGATAAAATCTTACTAATTAACCCATAGTTAGAGGAAGAGATGAATTCATGCCTTTTGTCAGGGTATTTGCATGTAAGCAAATATAACAAACACAATGGAAATTGGAACTCGGCTCTCTGAATAAAATTTCTGAGCCCTTATCCATTACACTATGCACACATCCAAGCTTACAGCACATGGTATTCCCAAGCTGTCACCCATCTTGGTACTGACCAGGCTTAACATTGCTTAACTTCAGTAATAATATAGGAACTGGTGTTTCAATATGATATGGCTACAAGCCCAAAGTGGTTGATATCGATCTCTGGGGGTCATGGGATTATCTAGAGAATTGATAAATGTCCAGAGAAATCAAAGGGGGGGGGTTAATAAATAAATTGTCATTTATGGCATGAGATATATATATATATATATATATATATATATATATATATATAAAACAGTTTTGTCTGGTCAAAGTTAGATTTATCCAGAAAGTAGTTATATAAAAGTGTGCTCAATGAAAAACTGAATATGCAGAGCTATTAAATATCAAAGTCAAGGAATACTAACCACTCATGCTACAATGGTTTCTACCAGCAGTGGAGGTTAATACTAATATATATATATATATATATATATATATATATGTATGTGTATATATATATATATATATATATATATATTTGTAGTGTTACTCTCCTTGCTAGATGCCAAGTTATGTAACTTAATAACTGTGTATTTAGGTAGCAATCCCTCTTTTATACAAGTTTCATTAAAAACAACTGACAGGGTACTACAGTTAAGTTTTTTTAATTTTTCTTGTGTTCTTGTAAATCCTCATGTATAGCCAACTTTTTCATGGTAAGCACAATGTAGGGCATCCTTGGTTACCCTTCAAATACAATTTAAATGCTGCAAACATCCCTATAGAGGAGTTCGAACTCGCTGTTGAAAACTGAGCAAACTGGAGAAACCCCAGCCACCAAAGTATAACTAACTTTAAAAAGAATCATCTCAACCATCTGAGAGAATTAAGAACCAACACTAAATCTCAGGCCAATACATCAGCCCATGTGATGGTAAACTCTTCAGCATGTCCCTCGTGTGGACTTGTTTGAAAATCCTATGCTGGATTACTCTCTCATACATTACGCCAAAAATGATGGGAGAGTCCATTATTATATATAAAACAGTAAAATCCAAAATCACCTCATATGGGGAATAAGCTTATTTTAGCAGACAAAAATATAAGTTGTCTGTCTTATTAACCCCGGTATGGACTAAGTTTGTGTCAGAAATAGAAATTTAACTGTGAAACCTTTAAAAAAAAAAAAAAGTGGTTGAAAAAATACAGAATTTATCCATTTCAATGTTTCAGTCAGACAAAAGGCATGAGGCAGGTCAGGGGAGAGTGGAAGGTATTTGTATTTAAAGGGAAGAAGTTTTATAAAATTAAACCCGGATATTAACCTTATGACATTAAATTGGGGTTATATGAAGAATTACATTAATTTAAAAACTTATATGGGATCGTATTTCCTACATTTTTCAACCAATTTCAACAAAACTTCACAGGACTATGTAAAATTACCTGGTGCAGTGGTTCTGACAGCACCAAAATGGAAAAACACAATTGTTTTTGCACTTAAAATCAATTTGAAAGCACGGGTAAGGGTATTGCACCTGGCTGGTTACTGCCAAATGTCCGAAAACAGAATTAATTCCGGTGACTCAGCATTTTTTTTTGTTTTTGTTTTTTTCAGAGAACAATACACAAAAAGTAAAACAAATGAAACATAAACATACACAAGTCCTCCTAACTAAAAATAATAACTGGAAACTACTTTAAATACACATGGTGTCCAAATGAAACCCATGTGTACATTCAAAATGCGGAAGTTAATTTTTAGTCATCAACCAAAAGATATTGCCAACTGACTACAATGCTAACCAGAGCTGACATTTGGCTAACAGTCTAACTCTCTGCCTTTGGTTGGAGAGGAACCTGGACGAGGCTCCGCCGAATGGCAGAGTCTTGTTCGGGGTGGTTGACTGACCCTGAACCCGTTTATGTGGGTTCAAATAGGAAATATTTTTGTACCGCATGTAAGCCTCGTGGGGGGTAGCTAAATATCACTTAGCTCCGGGGTAGAGCGACGTGCTCCCTCTCTCACCTTCACCTGGTCAACCCTCATGGAAAATAAACCTCCACATCTCAAGTGTCAATAAAAAGCAAAGCATGTCAGATTTATAAAGATTTCCTATTTGTCCCTTATCCTATCATTCTCTTGCATTCCTATCTATATTTTCTTAATTCATATATATATATATATATATATATATATATATATATATATATATATATAAATATATAAAACAGTATAATATAAACAGATGCAAACTATGCCTGGAAGAAAAATTAAAATAATTAAGTACAAAAATACAAGCCAGTTATTGAACCAGAGAAATGAAATTATACTTAAATGTCATCATAAAAATAAGTTTATATAGTCTTAAAAATAGAAATTTATTTTGCATCAAACACTGAAAAATATAATTTTTGACGGATTTGCACCAAAATTTACATGCACATGCTCCGAGTTAGCAGGAAGGCCAAGACTGACTTTGTATTTCCCAACTCCCATCGATAGTGGAAATAATCGATTTTTTCATGCTTCTACGGCAGTTTTCATGTAGTTTGCAGCCATTTTGTACTGGCCAGAGTGAGAGCCTATAGCTGGCTGCCATGAATAAGCAGGAAGATTCTATTGGCCAGCATGAGAGCCAACAGCTGACTGACACGAATGTTAACTAGCATGCAAAAAAATCGATAGCTGCATTCGTCACAAGTGGGAAAAATTTAAATCTGCATGGCACTTTACTCCAATTGGCTCATTCACTTGCTTAAACTCAACGTTGATTCTGATTCCGCAGAATTGGGATGGGTGTGAAAAAGTATTTGTTGTTAACATTCTTTTTTCATTCGGTTCTTCCAGTTCGAGTCCTTTTTTTTAAAGCTGACGGTTTTGGGTTCATTTTGTTTAGTTCTTTTTTCGTAACAGATTTAATGCTTAGTATAGAGCTTAGAAAAAATTTGCAGTGTGAGATAGGCAAGAAGTAAGGCATGTAGCAACATCAGCACAGCAAAGGGCACTCCTTTAAAGGCAAGGAAGGGCAAAAATATTTTAAGTCAAGTGATAGCAATTGCTGTTTGAGTTGTACGATTTTTGAGTCAAGCACGGGCAATGCTGGGCCATGTTGCTAGTATTTCAATAAATGCACTTATTAAGTAGAATTATAGTTTGGATCAAATGAATGCATATTATAAATGAAAGATACAGAAAACAAAAAATAAATGGCTTTCTTATTTGCATGGCCAAACAAATAGTATCAACAAATTGGTGTGACGATGACATATCAACAAATTTTAAACTTGTACTAGTTTTTCAGATTAGATGTGGAATAGATACTGCAACTGTGTTAGCATTTTCCATCCAAAGAATATTATTTGGAAATTAGTAAGAACTATTTTAAGTTTGTTTTTATGCTTATTAACGAGTTTCAAAGGACTTATGATTTGTTGAATGATGTTAATTTTGATTTAAGGGTTTTGATATGCATGAATATGTTCACCAGCAAAATCAATAAAGTAATTTTGTCATATTAACCAATCCCAGATTAACATTTATATGCTGGAAGTGGTCAAATCCTTTCACATGTCACATCATATAGTTTTATTAAAACTGAAATGAACTGAATATAAGCCAAAAATCTCATATTATTAATCTTGCTTTGTAGTCCAGTTAAAAAAATAAACTTCTTTGTTACAAATTTGACTTTTCATCTCAATTTGATTGAAGAGCAAGGAAGGCCAGAAAAAAAGATGAAATTTGTAAAGATAGGAGACTTGCAAGATAATTTTTTTTTCTCCTTGTTTTCTATTTTTTAATGCAGAAATTAGAGTAGATCCCCCACCAAAAAAAAAAAAAAAAAATTATGAGAATGCAGGCATCATAAGATAAAATATAACACTGGTATTATTGATGTAAAGTTTTGACTAAGTAAAAACTGCTTCATTCTTGACAGTAATACATTTCAATATTTGTGCTTTTATTTCTTATTTGTGTAACCTGTTTTTCTATCTTCCTCTTTGTTTTCATCTATATTTTCTCACTTTTCTATGTTTGTTGTATTAAACAATAGCAAAAAAAAGCAACAAAAGAGGCATAATGCTAGATTTGTTGTTTTTCATTGAATGTTTGGGGTGACATATAAAATCAAATGAGAAGGTGAATTTTCCTTTAACTAGCTTATAGGAAGTTTGTTCATTCTTCAAAGAAGGCAGTAGCATGAAGATGGATAATTTGTAAAATCTGCAAAGGAAATAAGTTTTTAAAGAGATACAATTATTCAAAGTAAATGAGTTCTAAAGCATGATTTCCAAAAAATTCTTTGTTTTTAAATGTTGTTGCAGCTTGCTAATCAATATTACAAGCATATTTTTCATTTTTTTTAAAGTTCATTTCATGGATTAAAAAAGCCATAGATTCTTTCAAAAACTTCAAAGAATATGAGAATTGTTTATAAAAATTATTTAAATCAATTTCTAAATAATGGATTTATTAATTAATCGAACAGATTTTATCACTTTAAAAAAGTAAACGTTATTTTTTGTGGATACCCATATTTGAGTAGATGCTGTTTATTTGTTAAACAGTATATTTATTTTTATCTACCGGCCTAAATATTCGTGAAATCTTATTAGAGAGAAATATGCGCTCTCCCTTGTGTCCCCCTTTCTCGAACATTCAGGCTGCCCCTCACTTTCTCAAATATTCAGACCGGTAGACGAAAATAAATATACTATTTTTAAATAAATAGAGAGTTTACACTACAGACTCAAATATGGGTGTCCAGTTCACTATAAATAAATAAATACAAACATTTATGATTCATACTGTTTGGGCCCCAAAATTTCTATAGGCGCAATGCTAAAAAAAAAAAAAAAAAAACTCATTGGACACGGGTTTTTATCGGTTTTACCACTTTTTTGTCAAAAAGTGACAAATCGATATGATTCTTATAAAAATTGTAGCAGTTTTGTTCTGCAAGTCATAAACACATCCTTTTAAAATTGCTTGATAATTTCACATGAAATTGAAGCAAACAGTTTTAACTCAATAACAAGAAAAACATTTTTTTGTTTGATTGAGTGTGTATTTTATTTTTCTTCAGAAGAGAAAATAAAATACACACTGTCAATCAAACAAAAATTTTTTCTTCTCAATCGTTATTTCT